TCGATGGTGCCTACGTACTAGAAGAGGTTAATGGAAACAAAATAACCTCACTAATTCTCACACCAAAAGCTGAAGGTCCTCATTAGGCCACACACTTATTTTTAGAACCCTTAAAGAGGAACTTAGGACCCAGAATTTATATTTGATAGTTTACATGGCATTTTAAATATAATTTCCAAAATGAACAAGAAATCAAAGCACATCATGGATATTAATGTCAAGTTATAAACGACCTATTAAAAAAACCTCTCAAATGCCTATGAGTTTGATTCCAATGAATTCTGCATGGGCAAGAACTAAGCAAATCATATTAATGCACAAAAAGAATGAAAGTAAATTAACCATATCACTGGCTTTTTGATTAACTTTCATTGTGTCAAAAATACAAGAAAGGTTGGAGGTTCAAAATTTTTTTATCCAAAACATGCTAGCTATGTAGCTATGGGCAAAACACTTAACCTCTCAGTCCTCTCAGGCAATTCTGTGAGTATAAACTATAGAGTTGCTAATCTGTCTCCACAGAGAGAGTTGCCACGTTAAGACTTTCCTATGAAGATGAAATCACAGGCCTAACCCAAAAAAGTATAATTTTTCCATCTCTTTATAACATAGTATCACATTACCACCCTCTTCACTAAATTGTAGAAAGAATTCCAATGAGAGGATATAGAATATTTCTTAAGATCATTTTAGAAATGGAAGAGAACTTAGAAGTCACCTAGTACAAACTAAACTTACTCATTTTACAGATGAAAGAACTGAAGCCCCAGAGATGTTAAGTGACTTACAAGGGTCACACAGTTAGTGGTAGAGTCAAATCATTAACGGGAGGGTAAATGTTCTCAACATTATGCAAATTTTGTCGATTACTTCAATAGCCAGTTAAACCATCAGACATGGAGAGATGATGCCATTTGCTTGAAGGTGTCTGTCATTATTTCAGTTTAAAGTCTGTTTTACGACAGATCCAGGATACCTTTTAACATGGTTTGATTCTAAGAAGTAATGATTTTGAATCAATTTCACTCTTTATAGCAGATCAAGGAACACTTTCACTAGTACTCATGATATTCCTAACATACCCCCCTTTGATCTTGTCCCCTCCGTGCTAACCATGATGCCCCTTAATAAAGATGATGTGTTACCTCTGTCCCTCATTAAAGTCCTCCACTCATGGCTCAGCAAAGATTAGAGGTGATCCCGATTTCTCAAAGGCTATGACAGCAAGAAGTAGGCTCCAGAAGGCTCTACCAAGCTGAAAAGTATAGGCCTGAGTATCTGATAAACAGCATGTCTCTGTGCATGGAGTTCTAGGGAAATTTTTCAATCAAATCATTAAAGAGATGGTTAGTGAAAATCTAGAAAAGAAAGCAGTAGTTACAAAGAAACAGCATAACTTCCATCAAGAATGACTTATGCCAAGCCTATGTCCTTTTTGACAGCTATTAAACTCCTAGGTCAGAAGAATGCTATAAAAATTGATTATTTAGCTTTTACAAAGCATTTGATTAAAAAAAAAAAAACCTTTTGTACTAGTGACTAGTTTTATGGACGAGACTGAGAAAAAGGATCTGGGCAATTGTATAATCAGATAGAGTCTGAACTGGTTGAGTGCCTAGACTGAGAGTTAATGATCCAACATCAAGATTCAGAGTGGATGTGCTATTTTGTCTCCAAGTATTTAAAAAGGATATATTCTTCTTGGGTATCCCCCAGAGTTCTGCCCTGGGCCGTCTTCTCTTTTGTCTATGCTATCTCTCTTAACAAGCTTCTCTGGCTACCACAGGTTCAATTATCATTACTCTACAGAGATGATTCCCAGATCTATTTATACAGCCCTATTCTCTGTCTCCAGTCCCATATCAACCACCTCTTGGACATTTTGAAATGGATGTCCCATAGGCATCTCAAACTCAATTTCTGTCCAAAACAGAACTTATCTTCCCCCTACCTACTCCCCCCCAACTCCATTTCCTCTTCCAAATTTTCCTATTATTTTTGAGGACATCATCATCATCCCAGTCACTCAGGCTCAAAAATACAGCATCATCCTCAACTCTTTACTTGCTCTCAAGTACCCCATATAGCTAACCTCTTGTTAAACCTCATTGTTGGTACCTTTCACAACATCTCTAGCTGTTTCCACTCACACAGTCACAGGAACAGGCCCTCATCATTTTTTTTTTTTTGGTAGGCAATTGGGGATAAGTGACTTGCCCAGGGTCACACAGCTAGTAAGTGCCAAGCGTTTGGTCTGAGGTTGGGGTTTGAACTCAGGTAATCCTGACTTCAGAGCCAGTGCTCTAGCCACTGCACCACCTAGCTGCCCCACCCTCAGCACTCCTAACCTAGACTATTGCAGCCTTCTCATTCTTCTTTCCACCCTACGTCTCTCAATTCAAGCCTTTCTCCATCCAGCTGTCAATGATTTCCACAACCTCCCCCAATAAACCTGTAGCTTACTCTCAGCTCTAGGATAGCAAATAACATCCTTTGTCTGCTATTGAAAGCCCTTCACAACTTGACTTCTTCCTACCTTTCCAATCTTCTGACGTTTTATTCCCTTCCACATGCTCTGATTAGTCCACTTTCTATTCCTCAAACACAACTCTACGTCCTATCTCCATACATTTACATCTACTCTCCCCCATGTCTTTCCTTGTTTCCTTCAAGACTCTGCTCAAATCCCACCTTCAACAGGGCACTTTTCCTGATCCCCTCAGATGCTAAAGCCTTTTCTTCCATCTAGTCAGTACTATATGTGCTTAACCATTTATATTTTGTTTCCTCTATTTAAATATAAACTTCTTCGCAGGAATTATTTTTTGCCTCTATTCATATCCCTAGGGCCTAGCACAATGCCTGCCTTATATAGTAAGCACTTAATAAACATCTGCTGATTGACTTACATCAGGTGGAAGCTCCTGTCCTGTTTGGCTCCAGGGGACAGAAACGTGAACAGAGGTGGAAGTTGTAAAGAGGCACATTTAGGTTTAATTAGAAAGAGCTACCTCAGGAGGTAATGAATTTCTCCTTCATTAAGTCTTAAAGCAGCTCCACAACCCTAGATGTATTATAGAGGGATTCATTTTCAATCGATAACCAAGCATTTATTAAGCACTTGCTGTATTTGCCGGGTACAGTATATAGAAAGAATGAAACAACTCCTATTCAAGGAGCTTTCTGTTATAACATTCATTTCAAGTAAAGACTGCATGAGGTGGTCATTGAGGTCCCATGCAACTCTGACATTCAGAGATTCCCTACCTTCTTAAACTATGGAATGAAACGACACATAACCTTTTTTTGATGGTTCAATATGAATAGCCATTGTCTAACAGTTACGTAATACAATTTAGTGCTTCAATTTTCTTGTCTCCTCCTCCCAGGGCAAGCTCTTAGCTTTAAACTTCTTTGCACTTTACCTCCTCACTTTACTTGATATCTGGCTCTTCCCTGAAGATATCATGCAACTCCCTCCATTAAACACCATTCCTACCACTCCCTCAAACTCAGGGACAGAAAGGCTAGGTATATTCCTCAAATCCTTAATGCCCCTTTCATACCATTACCCTACCACTATATGTCAATGTTTTGGGTTTTTTTTTTTTCCCTGAGCTCCACGCAATGTTTTTACAACCCTCTTCCTATCCTCACTAGTTAGTCAACCAGCATTTATTAACCACGTTCTGTGTGCCAGGCACTGTATTAAACACTGGAGTTATAAAGACAAAAAACAGCCCCTGCTCCCAAAAAGTTACCAGTCTAATAAGGGAGAAAACAAGCAAACAACTAATTACAGAAAAGATGTACACAGGATGAATTGAGGGTAGTCTCAGAGGAAAGGTACCAAGATTAAGGAAGCCCAGGAAAGGTTTCTTACAGTAAATGAGACTTTAGTGGACTAAGACATAAGCAAACAAGGGAACCTAGGAGGGGGACAGGAGGAGGGAGAACATTCTAGGTGTGAAAGACAGCAAGTGAAAAGGCTGTCAGGAAATGTAGTCATGTGCCAGGAACAACAAGGGAACCTGGCTTCACTGGAATGCTGAGTGCAGAGTACTCAGACAGGAGTAAGGGGTAAGAAGACTGTAAAGGTAGGAAGGTTAAGTTAGGAAAGGCTTTGAAAGCCAGAGGATTTTATCTTTGATCCTGGAAGTAAAAAGTAGTTACTGGAGTTTTCTGAATGAGGGTAATAGCGGGAGGAAAGGGGCAGCTTAGGGAGAAAGGCAAGTTCAGTTTTGGGCATGTTCAGTTTAAGATGCCCTTGGGAAATCCAGTTCAAGATGTCCGATAGCTGGAAATGTCAAACTGATTGTCAGGAAGGTTAGGGGCAAATAAACTGATCTGGGACTCATTTTCATAAACATAACATTGGAGACTGACCTAAACCCACTAAGTAAGGGGAACTCCCAATGCTCTGTCTGGGATCTTCTTTTCTTTTCCCTCTATGCTATTTCACTTGGGTTCAATCATCATCAAAATTGTGCATATAAGTGGATACCCATTAGATAGACTCCAAAGTCTGAATAAAATGGTAATTTACCTTATATGATAATTACATGCTATTTGCATAATTCAATTTTCCTAAAAAAAGGTCACAAAAAAACCTCTAGAAAAAAAGATATTAGGATGCTTTCTCTAAAACTATCCCTGTGCTATAAAAATTATACTTCCCTAACCTAGCACCCTAAAATGGGACTTGAGGACAATACAAAATGCAAATGAATAAGGCTAATGCCAACTCAGTGATAAATAACCCCATCTTCAACCACGCCATCCAAAAACAGGATACAAAAGGGCAGCTAAACCACAGCCAAAGCAACCAGAATATTTGTGCTCAGTTTATAAAACGAAAGTATTCTGAATTCAATTGTTCTCATAAGAGAACAGCAAAACAAAATAGTAAAACTTTAACCAATAGTAAGTAGAGAAGATAATTTATAACCAATTACTGTACAAACTATTAATTCAATAAACATAGTTATATTGCACTCCCATGACAATAAAGGGAATGTTTTATTTTATACATCAGTGACCTTAAAGCACAATGTAATTATAGTATCAGATAAATGCTGGAAGTCATTATCCAAATGATACAGCTATTTTATTTCTATGCACTTCTGTAATTACAAATAGCACTTTCACGACTTACAAAAGAGCATCCATCCAATGTAGCTTTAACCTTGAAATACACACTCTAACATTCCCATAATTTGACAGTTTCCAGATAACAATGTGGAAGAGATGTATTTTTAATGATCTCTCATTTTACTCAATGTGAAAAATAAATCAATGATGGAGAAGAGTTCCAAGGCTCTGCAAGAGGTTTTCTAGAGAAATACAAAGAGAAGGTTGCAACCATTTTGAGATTTCTAAGAACCATCTTCCATCTCCACATCTTGTTGTAATTTGAGCACCATTTTTTCTTCCAATTGTTTTCCTTTGCCTTAAAAAAAAAGCAGAGGAAAAAATCATTTTGTGACCTCAAAATTCGTAACAGCATTCTTCATAGGAGTTGAGCACTTTGAAATATGTGTTTAACTGTTTGAAAAAAGTTCTGTCTCTGAAGTCAGCTGCTACCAGTCAGATATTATCATCTACCAGTTATAATCTGTATCACCTACAAGTTTTTACTGTGAACTCAGGAGACTTCAGACTTCTTGTTACAGTAGTCATCTTTATAAGAATATTCTTTGAAAGAAGTGGGCCATCGGCTAGGCATTAGATATCTTTTTGGTAAGCTGATGTTACCGCTCAATATTTGTTATAAGAGAAGCTGACCTTTAGCAGGACTTAAGCATTCTGAATTCTAGTTTGAAAGCAAATCCCACCTGTCTCTGCCCTCTACAAATTATTTGGGGTATAAGTGTATATTAATTTGCCATATGGCAAACTGACCAAATGGTTCATGTAACTAAGAGTAGTTTGATGAACTCAAAGGGAAGACTGTAGTTTAAAATATTACACTTTGACTAAGAGTAGATGAAAGATATAAATTAAATTCGTATGAACATCATCAAAATTATTTTTAAGACATTTCATATACCCAACTCTCTGTAATAAACATATTCTTCAAGTATCACAAGTATATCAAAATTCTGCACACATCAAATTCCTTTATAGATGCAACAAGAACTTGATATATAATAACAACCTGCTCCCCTAATTTATCTTTCCAATAAATCCAGTCTTTGTTTTAAAAAAAGCACACATGGTACAGTGTTTACCTGCAAGAGGTGCCCTGATAAGGTGGATGTTTTGTTTGACTTCGTTGATGGCCTGAACTTTCTGTAGTTCTTTGCTCTTCTTTAACCTAAAGGAGGAAATAAAACACAACATAATAAATTGTGGTTAATACCATAAGAGCAATATTAACTTGGGTAACTGGCAGAACAATGTTACAGAAGGATTTCAATGCATTAAAACAGAAACAGGACATAAAGTATTAAAAATGTTTATCAGGACAATGTTATGTAAGGTGTACCTATAGTTACTTTATTCAAATTTTCCCACCTGTTCATTATAAATTTAGCTTGACGTTTTTGTTTGATCTCTTCTACTCTCTTCATGGCATCAACTGCAAGAAAAAAGATAAAAATATATTTTAAAAAACTCTAACACAAGCATATGCTTTCAACCCCTGTAATTCAAATGCACTTGTCCTTTAACATAACTTTTTTGATTATTCCTTATTTATTCCTTCATTATCCTAATTTAGAAAGCACTGAAATTGAAAGTGAATTCAAACATCACCACCACAAAAAAACTGGGGATAGTGCAGACATGTGTTGACATGTCACATATTCTTGATTAATTATTCCTCATTAATTCATCCTTTCATAAACACCACTTCTCTAATTTTTTAAGAACCTCAAAGGCTGTTCAGTTTTGATCTTAAGGAAGTATTGTAGCAAAGAGATGATACACTGCAGTTGCAAAGTATCTGAAGGCCTAAAGTTAAGGAGGGGTAAAGAATTTGCTTTACCAACCAACAATACCAGTAAAACAAAAAGAGAAAAGGAATTATATTAATGGACAAATATATTTATCTTTGCAATAGTATGTGCACTGCTGAGCTTAAACTTGCTTCTTAACAGTACCATGAATGTTATTTAATGACACTATTCAAAAGATCTAAATAATAAAGCATGTAAAAACAAAATTGGAGCTGCTGTCCCCAAAAAGCAGTAAGAAAATACTGCAAGGACTAACACCATGACACTGAAACCTTGCAATACAATTTTACAGGGCAAAATGGAAAGAGTGTTGGGCTAGAAAACTACAGAAAACCCAGATTCTTGTGCCACCTGTTGCATTCTTACATGATTTCAGGCAAGTCAACAAACCTCAGTGGGCCACAATTACCTCTTCTGCAAAATGAGGACCCTACCTCCCTGACTACCTCCAAGGGTTAATATGAGGCTCAAACAATAAAAATAATATATATGGAAAAGCTAGCTTTGAGAATATAGACTAGTACAAACGGGAACAATTCATGCTGCTATCTAATTCCTGAATCCAAGATTCAAAGGAAGGAAAAGCACTGCCAAGGCAATGTACCAGACTACAAACTAAGCAGTACTCGTTTAGGAATTGATGCTGAAAAAAGTACTCTCAAATACTGCAGCACATTTGGTCAGAAAACGCCATCTGGGATTCTGACAAGCCACATCCCTCTCCTGAAACATGAGATTCAGCAAAATATTTGCAAAGCACAACCTCTAACTTATTTTTCATTTACTTCAGATTCCTCCATCATTTCCAAGTTGTGAAAGAAACTGGCCTATGCATGGAAATAAAACAGAAGCTGGTATCAACACAAAGTTTTCAGTTTTCTAAAGTAATAATAACAATGACTAGCATTTAGAGCTTTAAGGTTTGCAAAGAACTTTTCAAAAAATTATTTTATTTGATCCTCATAACAACCATAAGGAAACTAAGGCAAACAGAAGGTAAGTGACTTGCCCAGGGTCACTAAGCTGGCAAGTGTCTGAGGCTGTATTTGAACTCAGGTCTTCCTGACTCCAAGACCAGTACTCTATCCACCTCACCACCTAGCTGCCTTGAAGTATATATGAAGATGATAAAAATGAAATACAGAAAACTGCTGACAAAGACAGCTCAAAAAATAACACCTATTAGAATAAGCTTCCCGTGGCTAAAGTTAAAGCCAGTGAAGCTGGAATTCCTCCCCAACCTTTTTGCCCCCTCACTCATTTTCTGAAAATGATTACTTTCCAGTAACGACTTGCCATCGTGAAAGCATCAAGTCCAAAAGAAATACTTTGTTTTGACTCCTATTTTATATCAATTCTTTCTTGTGTTCAAAGTTAAGACCAATTCTCATAAAAATGCCTAAAAATGTAACAAAAACTACAAGTATTTTTTAAAAAGCACCAATTTCATTTGAAATTTTATTGATAAAATGTATCTAATACAATAATTTTATGAACAAACCACACTATATATTTTTACACTCCTAAATTGACAAAGTAGCTTTGGATCAATAAAGAATATTAAATTAATAATATAAATATTCCAGTTTTCTTCCCTCACCTGTCAACCCCTGCCAAACTCAAGGGTATTTTCTCACAGTATCAAATTTCTTGTTTTAAAAAAGAAATCTGTAGGCAAATCCTTATACACATCTCAATAAAAACATTATCTACATATTTATACTTTGGCATTAAATAAATTAAGGTATTACTTATTAATTCCTCTGATTAAAAGGTAGCTAAGCCATAATCACCTACTATGTTATAGAAGGGCTGCAATTTGGTGGTGATTGAGGGAGTTCTTATGTCAACAAAGCCACATAATTTTTGTGTATATATCAAATCAGTATGACTTGAAAAGCCCCACAAACCCCTTGCATGTTACCTGTTTTATTCCATAGCTCTCTCTGGTATTTGACAGGTTCATTTCTACGTTTTTCAAATTCAAATGAATTATCCTATATAGAAAAATAAGAGAAAATTTATGCATTTATGAGATACAAAGTTTACCTTTAACGAAGTTAAAATAGTGTCTTTTACAAACAGTTCAAACTATGTCAAACCAAACACATTAATTTCTTATTATATAATGACCACGGTAGAAGCACTTTTATCCATTCATTCCACTACATGTGAGACACTAGGTTAGCTATTGCAGAAATAAAAAGAATAAGTCATAGTCTCTGCCCAAAGGGCTTACAGAGTAGAAGGCATTAAGACATACACAACTGAAGAGAATACAAGGCAGAATTGGAAACAAAAGGCACAGAGAATAAGAGTTGAAGAATACTTGTAGGACACTTTGTACCATGGGAGAACAAAAGGTCTAACTTAAAAGGTGGCATCTGAACCAAGTCTTAAAGGATGGGTGGAAAAATCAATCTGGAGGGTTCATTCTAGAAGGATAGAGAGAAGGTCATTCTAAAAACAGAGGGAAGAGCATAAGTCAAGGCATGAAAGCAAGAAAGCAACAGGCATATCTCTTGCTTCTTTGAAATATGATCTTCTACAAGAAGCCTTTCCCAGTCCTCTTCAATGCCAGTGCTTTCCCTCTAAAACTATCTTGAATTTATCCTTCATATATCCTGTACATACGTAGTTGTTTGCATGCTGTCTCCCCTATTTGAATGTGAACTCCCTGAGGGCAGTGACTATTATTGCCTTTCTTCACATGCCCAGGACTTAGGCACAGTGGCACACAGAAAACAATATATGCTTATTTACTTGCTGACTTTAGCAAAACTCTAGAAAGCACAAAAAGGGGATAATGGAAGAAAATGCTGGCAAGTTAGGCTGGGCAAAATTGAAGGGGTCTCAAATAGCAAAATAAGCAGTTTAGACTTTATTTGGCAGGAAGTGGGGAGTCCAATAACAGAAGCTTTCTGAACAGAGAAGTAATGGAATCAAAGCTGTACGTAAGATTAATTTGGTAGCAATATGTAAGGCTGGACTAGAAGGCAGAGAAACCAAAGGCAGAACAACAGTTAATAGATTAATGCAAGAGAGTCTGCGGAAGAATATTAATAAAGGCTTAAAGTAGGATAGTAACAGTAGAAATTGAGAAAAAGGGTGTATTCAAAACATTTAAGGGGCAAAATCAATAGTATTTACTGATATGATGTAGGGAATGGTAAAGTCAAAGATGATTTATGCTGACATTTTAGTCTGAGTGACAGGGAAGAAGGCAGTGCTATTACCAGAAGAAGAGATTTGGGGAAAAGGTTTATTAGCTTGGTCACCAGAAGAATAAGGTAGAGATATTTAGGGGGAAAAAAAAAACCACAATGAGATACAGCTCTGGAAATCAAGATCTAGAAGGCACCTACGTGGAAGAGTTAGTTAAGTGGTGAGCAGTAAAAGAAGACAAGAGTAATGGAAAAAATATTGCACATGTTCTTACCCTAAATTGGCCAAGAAACCAGAGCCAGCAGGGGACCTAGCCATGAACTTCAGCTCTGACACTTACCAGTTGTTTGATCATTGCCAAGTTACTTAATTTCTCTGAGCTTCAGTTCCCTCATCCGGAAAACAGAGCTAGCGATACATATGCCACCTACCTCAAATTAAAGCACTTTATAAATCTTATACAAATATAAGTAAAATATTGTTATCATCATGTTTCTCCAAGATCAAATGCAGGGAAAGACAGCCAAGAACAGAATCAGGGGGAATAATAGTATTTAGGAAATAGTTTTAAAAAATTAAAAATTTTAAATTAAAAAAAAAATAGGAGAGGCCAACAAAGGCTTAAAAAAAAAAAAGTACCAGGAGAGTACATTATCAAAGAAGTCAAGGGAGAGAAAAATTTCAAAAAGGAGGGTCAGTTATCAGTGCCATAAAACTCTGAAGTAGGATGGAGTTTGAAAAAAGACCAACTGATATAGTAACTAGCTGGTCAGACTACCCTTACAAGAATTTTGGCAATAAAGGAAAAACAATAAGAATATTCAGAAATGTGGATATGAAAGACTCAAGAATCAAGAAGAGGAAAGACTAAAAATATAAGAGAGGAAAGATAGAGCAGATATCTAAAAAGACAGGAAGGAAAGGAAAGGATGAGATAGGGGAAGAGGAATACTTCTTTCTCTGAGTGAAGAGAAATAGAGAAAAAGACAGAAATTCTAAAGTGATAAGGAAGTTAAGGAATTCTGCCTTAGATAGTTCAATGTAAAAAATGTAGCTAATACATCATTCTGAATATATTGTTCCTATAATCTATTAAAGTTAGAAAAGATTAGAGCAGGTACCTGCAAATAAGATCAAGTCAATCTCAAAATATTTTTAAATCTCTACAGTTGAAAATTATGAGGAAAGCTTCATTAATTATGCTATTAGACACTTATGTAAATATTGACATTGAAAAACAGTATTTCAAAGGAAATCCACCAAGGCTAGCACTTTGCTTCTATTCATGACCTCTCATAAATGACAACTATCACTGCTACATCCATTTATACAGAATTTAACACTATTAAAAATGTTGACTGATAAGTATTCACAGGCTTAGAAAAAAAAGAAATTATTGGCAGTATCAATTCATTGAGTTTCTAAGAAACTCATCTAGACAGTACTCAAAAGACAGATTTCAACACACATTGACTAATGTTTTAAAAAAAAAGGCAAGTGATTAAAATGCCAGTGATTGAAAACAGTAAGTGAAGGAGAAAAAAAGGCCAGAAAAGTCATTTTTTGAACAAATGGCTACCCCAGCTATGTGGACTACCATTTACCAAAACTGATCCCTTCCCTCTAGGGAACTCTCACTTTCACTAACACTTCTGCACTCTATACTGTGTTTATTTGGGGATATCATACTTTCTCAATGGATTAAGAGCTCATGAAGGCAAGGATGAAGTCACATTCATTATAGCCCCTCAGCGTCCAGAGCAGTATACACTACATAATAAATCACAACACATTATTATGATTCAATTCAACAAGTAGATGACTATAACAAGTGATATCATCTGCCTTCACAGCTTCAACTATTATTTACATATAAATGAGCCAGGATGGCTTGTGGATTAAGAGCTGACCTAGTGAAGAAGACCTAAGTTCAAATCCACCCTCTAACAACCTGGCTGGATGTGCAAAGGCAAATCACCAAATCTCTCTGCACCTCAGGCCATTCTCTAAGCCTCTAACTTAGAAGTTAGAGAGAAGGTAATGATCTATTTTAGGAGAGGAAGGTCTTCCCAGGAAGTTCCTACATAGATGAAATGCTGTCTAGATGACTATTGACAGTCAATTCAAAATGAGTACAGCAAATATAAAAAAATGAGCAACTTTACACCCAACGATTATTACCATAATGCCATAATCTTTCCAAGATTCTAAACAAAGAATATGACCTTCAATTTAAATGTCTCCTTAACTTTATGCATCTACCAATTGCCAAATCATGTTGTTCTTTTCTGTTATCTCCAGTATCTAGCCCTTCTATCACAAAAAGCACGGCATTACGAAATTCCAAGATTTAGTGTACTTTGAAAACGAGGCCCTATCATCACAATATTTACAGCTAATAGTAAAAAAATCAATCCAAATAATAAATCGCTACCCTAATGTTGTGTCACATAACATTTAATCTAAATTCCACTTGTAGGCTTACAAATTACAATGCTCGATTTTAAGATACAAGACTTCTTTTTGCTTAGGGATACAAGTCTTTTAGGAATCTGCATGTATGCAAGAACAGAAAAAGAAATACACAGTCTGTGTCTCTCTCTCAAATGGACATTATCAATGCAATTACTCACTTGAGTCTGTGATTTCCACAACCCATTAGGCTATTATTTCTGGAGACCTAAAAGCTAATCATTCTAGAGTGACTTTATGATAGTTACATCACTCCTTTATCCATATAAAAGCAGCATATGTAATACAACCATGCAGTTACTGAAATTAAAGTCACTGAGATTTCCCTAATGAAACAGCAAGAACTATGCTACTAAATTACTTTAAAAACACCATAGAAACTGATAAGTTGGTAAAACCTGAGTTTTTACTTTAGTTGTAACGGTGATTGTGGCTTCCAGCATAGTCATATCTGAGTGAATTTCTAACAGATTACTAAAATGGAGGCAGCATGCACTTGACAGTAGCATGCACTTGACAGAAGTCCCTAGCTAGTGAGTAAATAGATGGCAATTGTGAGAAGGTAGGTGTCAGATTATAAGCTCTCTGGAGAGGAAAACTTATTCATTTTCGTATCTCCCACATCAACCTACACATTGTCAGCACTCAATATATACTTGGCTGAATCAATGAAAGAGATGGGAGGGTGAGTATTTCATTAGCAAAACAACCACAATAAACTGAAAATCCCTCAAAAGATGCTCATGGTCATCAAAAAGGTAATACAAAAGATCATGAATTCTAATTTTCCTATATTTTATGCCACACAAAATGCATTTATCCACCTAAAGAAAATTTTTTCCATTAATTTCCAAAAGTTAAATCTCTGAGGTGGGACATGCAAAGTACCAGAGTACAACTGATAAGTTACACTGGGAAGCAAGTTAAGTCTCAAGAAAGCATGAGGGGTAGCTAGGTGGCATAGTGGACAGAGCAAGCCCTGGAGTCAGGAGGACCTGGGTTCAAACCCAGCTTCAGACACATAACACTCGCTAGCTATGTGACCCTGGGCAAGTCACTTAACTGACTGCCGCACCAAAAATCAAAAATAAATAAATAAACAAAAAGAAAGGATGCAAAATTGTTGTAGATCACCAGATTCACCAGAAAGCCTTGAGATTCCTCATTTTTTCTTTATAGTCTAATTATATCTTGATAATCTTCTCAATCCCTTAAAAATTACTGCAGTACCACAGAGGACTAAAGTTGAAGTACACTATACGCCTCCTGCTAGAGAAGTGATAAGACTTAACATAAAGAATACTTTGAGACATGGTCAATGTAGGAATTTGTTTTGCTTGACTAAGCATATTTGTTATTAGAGTTTTCTTTTGCCTTTTTAAAAAATTGTTCAATTTGAGGCAGAGGGAGGAGGTAGGTGACAGGAAGAAAAAATTAGTACCTATTAATTGGAAAAAATAATAAAATTTAAATTTAGAACTATTGAAGTAACTACTACAATAAAGTGTTTTTCCTAGAAAAGCCCTATAGATTTTTTTCAACTACTTTATTTTCTTTTGATTCTGAAAAATAATCCTTGATAAGGAGCAGTCTTGAATGGAAAGGATAACATTTTAACAGTTAAAATACTAAATTAATATTTCTTAAGAAGCCTATATAATATTGCAATTGTGCCAATACTAGAGGCCTGGTTGAAGAGATTTGAATATTCCTCCTTTAATTAGCCAGTTGCAAGATAGGGACAAGAAGCAATTACAGAGGACTCCCTATCACATGTATGTTGACAGCAATAAAGGGCTGTACATAAAATAAGCAAACTGTGCCCCAGATGAATAGAACAGAGAGATCATTTAGCATGATAAAGGTTAGGGATGGACTGTACTGGGTTTTGGTCCTATGTTCCCCCTTCCTTAGAAGATGGTCAAATAACTTTTTTTCCCCTAAATATTTTTATCCTTAATCCTTCAGACACAATACCATACTTAGATACTAATCTAATTATGCCCTTAAGACATTTTAAGTGTTATTTTTAAATGAGAGCCTATTCATTACATAAGTCAAACCTTACTACTATCAATTTGTCTACTTAAAGTGATATTTATGCAGCATTTTCAGGTTTGCAAAGCACTTGGCATACATTATCTCATTTGTGGATAGATACAGTACAGGTACCACTTTACATAATTTACAAAAGCAAAATTAAAAAAAAAAAAAAACAGGGCTCTGTTGTAGCAGATTCTCTCTTCAATTACCTTAAAAAAAAAAAACCCTCCTGAGGAAGGTCTAAGGTATGAAACTGGCAACTATGCATTTACTCTATCCCTATGACTTAATTCATGTAATAATCTGGTGACACAAACTCCACCTATGAACAGATCAATATCAAGGCTTCTATGGGGAAGCTACCTTAGTTACCCTCAACAATTTAAGAACAAGTCTGGGAACTTCTCTGGTTGGATGGAACAGTGCTCCACCATCTACCTACCTTCTCTGTGACTGACAAGGCCTAACTGCACACACTGTCCTATACACCACTTATATGACTTCCTGTCTAGGGTTCAATTATTCGGACCCTCTCAGGTTTTTCCTTAGGTGTTCTTGCTAGTTCTTCATTTATTTTATTTTTTAATTTTAGAATGTTAAAAGTTGAAATTCACTCCTTGTACCTCAAGCACTTTGCAAGAAAGGCACTGTAGCAATCCTGGAATCCCCACCTAATAGAATCAGCTAGGATTTTCTTTTCTTTGTTTAGATTTTTTTTTTTAATCCAAACCCTTCAATAAGTGAATATGCGATATGCCACCTAACTGACCTAGAAAAATTCAGTCCTAGGTTAAAACAAACTGAGCTCTGTATCCCCACATAATTAACAATAAATATCAGCAGGGTTCTTCACCAGCTTGGTCTAGTTAGAATACTGCAAGTTGCCATGGATGGACTTAACACTCCTTAAAAATCATTTGTAAGATTCCTCTTTATCAAATATTTCTTAAAATGCAATTTATCTAATATCAAATCTTGAACTAGAGAAATTATCTACCAAAAGGAATTATCCATGCCACAGTTTCCCACTATTTTCAAAATGACAAAGGATCTTAATTTTTTTTAATGACTAAATACAGCAGAGTACTACTACTTACTATAACTTGGCTGGCTTTTATTTCTCTTATTAAGTTCTACAGAATTACAATACTTAATGACTTCTGAGAATTACAGATTATCTAGAAAATCAACAGAAAGGTAAAACTAGGCAACCATTTTATAAGAAGCCATTTGATGACCAATTCTATCACATATGGCTAAAATAAAAATCAAAGTTTTGAATAATATCCACACTACTCCCAGTCCATCGTACTCACCACTGTAAGTTCTTTGCCAGCTGCCTTTCGGAAGGCTTTAGTCCATCTGACCTTACGAGGATTGCGCTTCTTTTTAAAGTTTTTATGGCATTTAGATTTACAAAATCTGAAAACCTGAAGGAAAAATAAAAACAAAACTAAATAAGTTAATGTTAAGGGTTCTCCTGAAATAAAATGTTATTGTCCCAAGCCAAACACATAGTAAAGTAAAAGTGAGAAACAACTGTTGTACACTTATTTCCTGTCACCCACTTCATTTTAAAATCAATCAGGGACTACATACTAACCCATGACTCTCAGAAAAAAGTTCAGGGAATAACCTACTGACAAGTTGGAATCACTAGAAATATGGCCCCAAGATGTTCTTACTCATTTTTATAAATTTAAAAAACATTAAATTCCCCATATTAGTCACTCAGAATGAGAAAGATGTTAAGGAAAGCAAGGAAGGTTAATTTCTAATCAACCTTTATTCTCAAGAACTTGAATGCCTTTAAGGGGGGGGGAAGAGTAATTAAATGCTAGGCCAGATAATTTTTTTAAAAAATAATACTTTTTACACAGACTCAAATGTTTAAGCTGAAAACTCACTTAAGTATCTCTCATCTTAACAAAAAGCTAAATAAAATTTAAAATTCACTCAATTTTAGCATTGCTATTTTGATAAATGAGAGGCATCATAAAATGGAAAATGAGCTGGAATGAAATCCTGGATTCAACTCCCACCTCTGGTAGGTGTTTGACCCCTGGTAAACCACTTAACCTCTCAGACAATTAATTCTCCAAGATTAAATTGGAAGGCAAGAGCTAAACTTTATTGGTACCTCATCTGGAGCTCCCTATAAAGATGAAATCACAAGTCCTCTTACCAAAAAAAAGTTTTGATAAATGTATACTGTATTTACACTTAAGACTGCCTTCACAAATCTAATCAAAAATAAACAAAAATCTTTACTGGTATCTTAATACGATTAATGATTCAACTTAGTTTCTTCTATATTTGAACACAGACAAATGCCCCCTAAAACTCTGTGATGCTTCAGTGTGCTACTAAAACTATTCATTCAGTCTCATGTGTTTTGGTTTTTTTTTTGTTTTTTTTTGCTTTTACTAGGCAACCGGGTTTAAGTGACTTGCCCAAGGTCACACAGCTAGTACGTGTCAAGTGTCTGAGGTCACATTGCAACTCAGGTCCTCCTGACTCCAAGGCCAGAGCTCTATCAACTGCTGCCATCTAGCTGCCCCACGTCTCATGTGTCTTAAATGTGATTTGTACTACATTCCCGCAGGAACGGCAGAAATTTTTTAAATGTACTTGATTTTTGTGGAGTTTTGCAAATAAAATGAAATTGAATTTGTTCACTGCACATTACTGAAGGTGACTCATAATAAGAACAAGTTAGCAGGAAAACAAGTAGTTATATTCAAGGAACAGTTTGAACTCCTGAATTCAAAAGTATCTAGAAGATACACGGATAGATGACATCAACCATCATACCACTAATACAGAAGTTTCTAATTTGAGAACTTAAAACAAATACTCCTTAACCCTTAAACAGTCCTATAACAGGTATACCAGATTTTCATTCTGCATAAAGAAAAGTATGTAACATGTGAAAAATATAAGTTTCGCATACACAAAAGCAAAATATAACATTAGGATTTGTCTCAGTTCCCCATATCAATCAATCAACATTTATAAGCCCCACTACATCAGGCACTGCACTAAGTACTGGAGATACAAAAAGAGGGAAAGACAGTCCTCGCCCTCAGGGAGCTTACAATGTAATGGAGAAGACAACTGCAAATAAATATATACACAGCAAGCTATAGACAGGATAAATAGCAAATAATTAACAGAGGAAAGGCACTAGAATTATGAGGAGTCGTGGAAGGCTTCCAGTAAAAGATTAGATTTTCGCTGGACTTCTCAGAAAAGTTAGTAGGTGGAGCTGAGGAGGGAAGAGTATTCCAGTTATGCCCAGAACTGAGAAAGTGTATCCAAGAGTATGGATCAGGGAGTGAGGCATCATAAAAAGACTGGAAAGGTGAGAGCGGGCTAAGTTATGGTTGGCTTTGAATGTCAGATTTTTTTATTTGATGTATTTGAGGCAACAGGGAGCCAATGGAGTTTACTGAGATAATGTCATCAGACCAGAACTTCAGGAAAACCACTTTACTGGCTGAATGGAGGATGGGGGGATGGCTTTATGTCAGAGGTTCTTCACCTTATTCTCTCATAGAGCCCCTCATGGAAAAATATTGTTAAATAACTGAAGGAAGGGGCAGCTAGGTGGCGCAATGGAGAGAGCACTGGCCCTGAAGTCACGAGGACCTGAGTTCAAATCCGACCTCAGACCAAACACTTGACACGTAGGAGCTGTGTGACCTTGGGCAAGTCACTTAACCCCGATTGCCTCACTAAAAAAAAAAATTAAAAAAAATAACTGAAGGAAATGCTAAATTTCAGTTAGAAGTTGGTGAAAAAAATTTTTCCCCATTTGAGTTCAAGGATCCCCTAAATACTATTCATGGATCTCATATTATTACAAACAAATTTTTATCATAACAAAGAATGTTGTCAAATTAACACGACCATCCTCCTTTCCTGCCTCACTGTTCCCACTCCAATTTTATACTCATTTTTATGTATAAAAAGATGACAAGGAAGAAGAAAGCAGAGTACAAAATGCAAAAATAGTTCCACTATACTCTTCCTATCACCAAGTTTCACAAACTTGCAGGCAGTCCATTTTGTACAAGGGTACAAAGTGCATTAGAAAGCATTTTCTTCTCACTTCTACTTCTTAGGAGAACTCTGTCGTGCCCAGTGCCACCTGCTACAGGATGCCTTTCTGCACTACCCACGTATTAACACTTTTTCTCTCTCTTGGAATTACTTTGTTCCCTTTTATATAAACTTTGTATTTACTTACTTGCCCCTAAACTCCTTGAAGTCAGGGGGCGATTTCTACACAAAATACATATTACATGCTTGTTACATCGAACTGAGTTGCCGTTTCTGCACCCCAACTCCCCAAACAGAACATAGGCTCCTTGTGGGCAAGGCGTATTTCATTTTTTGTTCTAACCCCTACCCCTAGCGAGTGCCTCGTACAAAGCAGGAACTTAACAAATGCCTGCTGAATAACTGAATTGAACTGTATCCCCCAAGCAGAATGTTAATTCCTTAAAGGCCATTTCATTTTTGTGTTTCTATTCCTTAACCTTAACCCTGTGTCTTGCCCACAGAAGAGGGCTTAATAGTTATGAACTGAACTGTTTACTGTTTAAATTGAATTGTCCCGTAGCCCCAAGTGAAAATAAGTGGTCCCAAAGAAAGCCTTCTCTACAGTCTCTAGGGTGGGAGGCTCCCAGGACCTGGCCAGCCCCGCCAACCCCCCCCCCCCCGCAGGAGGCCAGCAGCAGCGCGAGAGCGTAAACGACCCAAAACACTACGGCAAGCGAACGAGGCCCTTCAAAGAGCGCACAGTCACGTGGGTTGGAGGTTTTGGGGAGGGAACCTCTGAAGGGCCGGGGGACGCCCGCCAGACTCGACACGCGCTCACCCCAGCGGGCCCGCACTTAACACCTCCCAAATTCCCTCGCCCGCCATCCGCGGCCTCACCTTACAGTCGTTGCGGACAAACATCATGCCGTGCCCCGGGTACACCGGCCCAGAACAGAAATAACACTTCTCGATGCGCATCTTGAAGTTGCGCCGTCACCTCTCCTAGAGACCAGGGCGCTTGAGAGGAAGTGACGATGAAGACTTTTCCGGAAGTACGTTTTTTTTTCCAGGGCTTCCTGGAGGCCCCGGGACGACGCGACGGGAGGGACGGGCCCTCTGGCGCCACCGTGTGGGCGTTGCTGAGGGCAACAATGGGAGCCCCCTGGCGGGAACTGCGGGAGCTTCAGCCCTGGAAGTTCCGTGAATCCTAGGGATCATAGATGTATACCAGAAAGAGACCTCAAAACTCATCTAGTTCAATCCCAGCCTTCTAGAAATGAGGAAATTGAGGCACAGAGAGATTATAGATTCAGAGTTAGAAGGGATGGTACAGTATCCTTCTCGCTCCCCCTTCCCCTCCCTTTTCCAAAGAATTATCCCATATGACAATATTTTTAAGACAAAAAAAGGAGAGGAAAAACATCAGCAAAACTGATGGATACATCCAAAAAATAGCACGTGGACTTCACACCTCTGAAAAGGAGTGGGGGTATCTTCTTGTATCTCTTTGGAACCATGCTTGTTCTTTGTAATTTTGCAACACCCACTTTTGTGAGTGTGGTTCTTTCTGTTTACATTACTGAAGTCACTATGAGGCAGCTGGATGGCTGAGTGGATAGAGCTCTGGGCCTGGAATTAGGAAGACCTGAGTTTAAATCTGGCCTCAGACACTTACTAGTTGTGCAAGTCACTTAACCTCTGCTTGCCTTAATCCATTGAAGAAGGAAATAACAAACCACTCCAGTATGTTTGCTAAGAAAATCCCACAGACCATAACAAGTCATGATGTTTTCTTGGCTCCGTTTACTTCCTTCTGCATCAGTTTATATAGATCTTTCCATTCTACTCTGCATTTGTCCCATTCATTATTTCTTACAGCACAGTAACATTCCATTACATTCATGCACCACAATTTGTTGAGTCACTCCCTAGTTAATGAACATCTACTTTGATCCCAGTTCTTTGCTATCACACACACACAAAATGCTGCTATAAATATATATTATATGTATATATTTGGATATATATATATATAAATAATTTGGTGTATATAGGGGACTTTCTTATCAATTGCATCCTTGGGGGTATAAGTCTAGTAGAGGAATCTCTGAGTCAAAGAGTATGGATATTTTAGTCACTTTATTTGCATAATTCCAAATTGCTTTCTAAAATGATTGTACTACTTCACAACTCCAGCAAGAATACATTAGTGTACCTATCTTTCTATAGCCCCTCCAACATTTACCATTTGCATCTTTATTCATCTTTGCCAGTTTGCACAGTATGAAGTGAAACCTCATAGTTTTTTTTAAATTTGCATTTATATTATTATTAGTGATTTGGAGCATTTTCTATATAGTTAATAGATTGCAATTATTTTGAGAACTGCTCATTCATATTTAAACACATAGAAGAATGGCTTTTGGTCATATATGTGCATATAATGTATGTGTATAGAAATATGTGTTAATTGCTGATAATATATCTTTGAATCCAAACCCTTACAAGAGAAACTGCTCTTCCAAATCCAGCATCATTTCCAGTCTACCACAGAGTCGCATAGGTAGCAAGCAAAAAACCCAGGGTACCAATAACCTGAGTCCTATATTCCAAATACTGTACAGCTGTTTCCTCTACTTCAGCCTTCCCAATGAAAAGGTTAATTCCTTTATTCCTATGAAAGCTAGCCCAGGGCCACTAGCTCAGTGAAGACAGGAGCCCCAAGTCCCATTCGACAAACATTTATTAAATACCTACTATATGAAGAGCATTCTATTATACTCTGAGGAAATAAAGACCAAACAGAAAGAAAAGGGACATGGGCAAAAGGATCTTATATGTTCAAAGCCCTAGCACCATCTCCCTGACATGTCAGCTTGGTAGAAACTCCCAACTCTACCTAATACTATGGATAATATACCTAATAATAATACTATGGATAGACACCTTATAATATGGAGAAGCCAACAACCCTGTGGCCTAGGTCTGGTTCAACAGACTGCCGGGTGTACTCAGAAGATTTTAATAAAGAATGACCCTTAGTCCTTGGAAGGCAGCACAGAGAAACAAAGAAGAGAAGAGGAACTGAGAGAAGGAGAAAGCTGCTTTCCAAGTCAGAGCCTAAAGCAGGAATTTTGTCCTAGTGAAGCCCCAGCATTAATTATAAGTTACATATCTCATAATGTGCAAAGTCAGAGTCATCCTTGACTTCCCAGTTTCCCCATTTGTTGACAAGTCATGATATCTTACATGTCTCTTCCTCTCTATTTATGTCCATCATCCTATTGCAGACTCTTATCAACTCTAACCTTGGTTATTGCAATAGCCTCCAAATTGATTTGCCTGTTTCAAGTCTTACCTTTCTCCAGTCTATCCCTTACACTGCTGCCAAAGTCATATTCCTAAAACACAGATCTGACAGTGTCCCTCCCCTGCTCAGGAAACACTACTAGCTTCGTGTTACCTGGAAGATCAAATACAAATTCCTCTGTCTAGAATTTAAAGCCTGGCTTTAATAACCTGACTCCAATTTACACTTCCAGCCCTGTTACATGTTACTCTTTTTCACACACCCTCCATCCAACCAAAATGGCTTTGCTAATCATCACACATGACAACTCATCTCCTTTTCTAGCTTTACATATCCCCCTGCCTGGAATGTATTCCTTCTTCAACTCTTCTCTTCATCTCCCTAGCTTCCATTGAAGCTCATCTTAAGTACAACCTTCTACTTTAAGTCTTCCTGGATCTCTGCCTCACCCCCCAGATGCTATCACCTACCCCCACCAAAAATAATTATCTTGTATACACTTTGTATGTACTTATTTCTGCCTATGTTGTGTTTTCTGGTAGGATGTAAGCTTGAAGACAGAAAATATTTCCTTTTTGTCTTTGGATCCCCAGTGCCTAGCACAGTGCCTGGTCCAGGGTAGGCAGTTAGTAAATGCTTGCTGATTGAGAATATAACACTGTAAGAAGGGGAGGCAGACATTAAGGGACTTCCACCTAGAGTCTCAAGGACAATGATCCCCAAATACCTCCCTGGGTACAGACCTGAGGTCAAAGAGAGGAACCCTTGGAGGACATCTAGGTACCTGAGTAGGAAGCTTCTCTCTGATATTTAAAACTGGTCATCCAGTTTCCTTGGAAAGGCCTCCAGTAGTAAGGTACCCATTGCATGTCTCAAGTCCATTACACATTTGGGTCCCTCTAAATCATTAGGAAATTTTCTTTGTATACATTTGAAATCTGCCTTAATGCCTCTGTTGTTAACCCTTTCACGATCCTTTTGACTCTTACATAATTCAACATGTTATCTATCCTTCCCAACTTTTTTGTGTCTTCTACAAATTTGATAGGCATACCATCTCTGCCCAAAACAAAGAACATGCCAGTCAAAAAAGAGATAAGGGTCTCCTGACTTTGAGCTCAGTGTGCATTCCATTACAATATGTGGCCTCAAAGTCTAATACAATCTAAGTGCGAAATTATTTTTTGACTCTTTGTGTATGGTCAAGATAAATTTAAGACAAAATGAATCTTCTCAAACATCAAGGGGCGTCTAGTATATAGTGCTAAGTAAACATTTAAGAAATGCTGTAGAATTGAATTTGAAACAGCCCTCGAGGATTTGGTGAACCAGTCCATGCTCACTCTATTTATTTCCCTCGTGGTTTTGTAGAAAGCCAGTCTAGTGGAATGGAAAGGACACAGGACCTACAGAATCTGACTGAGTTCAAGATTCTTTTACTAGCTATACGAACTTGGGCAACTCATATTAAATAATGCTTTATAATTTATAAAGTGCTTATCTGACAATAGCCCTGTAAGGAAAGCAGCGCAAATACCGTCATATGCATTTTATGAAGAAACTAAAGTTCAGGGAAGTTAACTGACTTACCCATGGTTACCCAGCTAGTGCCAAAACTGGTTTCTGAACCCAGGTCTCCTAATTCCAATTATAGCACTCTTTCCACTACACTATGCTAATATCTTCAAGCCTCAGTTTCCTTATGAATAAAATTAGGATAGTAATACTTGCATCATCTACTTCATAGGAGTATTGTGAGAAAAGCCTTAAAGGGCTAAGAAAAAAATATAAGCTATTATCACTATTATTGAGGAATCTCTTCTTTTTTCCAGACAGAATAAATCTGTTAAGTCTTTCCTCATCCAACCAGCCCCATCCATTGTTCAATTGGTCTGTCACCACCACACAGCAATCTTTTTTATTCATCACTGATGGATTCCTTATTACTCTTCATGATAACTGTAGCAAACTTCTTCTCTCCTCAAGAAACCAACTCAACCCTTTTCTCTGTAAATAATCTCACATACGTTCCTGAGATTGGAAATATACTGGGAATACCATCATCGCCTATTCTCCATTTTTCAAAATCTCTCTGACCACATCCATCCTTTTCTTCTCTGCTCCAATCTCAGAGGGTAAAGAGGCCCTCCTCCTCCTCCTCAGTACAGACTCCTTCCCATTGGTCCTTTATCCCATCTCTTTATGGCTCTTTTAGGAATCTACAACATCAATTATTCCATCTCCCTTTCTTATCTCCAATTTTTTCCTGTCTACTGACTCCTTTACATCTTCTTACAAACACGCTTAGTCTTCCCTATCCTGGAAAAATACTTTCTCCTTGACCTTGCCAGATTCCTCAAACTATCACATTCTTTCTTCTTCCACCTAGAAAAGAGTAATGTCGTGAAAACCCAAAGAAGAGAGAATGTTCAGGAGAGGCTGACGGCAGGGTCGGATGTTTCAGAGAAGTCAAGAAGGATAAGGATTGAGAAAAAACAAACAAACAAACTTATATTTGGCAATTAAGAGAGACTTGGTAACCAGAGAAAGCAGTTTTAGTTGAGGAATGAGGTTGGATGAAGAGAATGAGAGAAAAAGAAGTGATGGCATTGATTTTAAATAGCTTTTTCCAGTAATTTAGAGGAAGGAAGGAGACACGGTGAGAACAAGAGCTAGGAGGAACAGGTAACGGCCCGACGTTCTGGATCCATTCCTGTGGCTTCA